GTTCTTGAGCTTCGTTATTTTGCAATTTTGATGAGTGCCACCACATCCTTCTAAAAAATGCTCCACCTTTGAGAACACTCATTTAATTTGAATGCATTGCTGTACGTACTGGTATTTGTGTTTCTTTTTGGTTTCATTTCATTAATTTTCATTTCATTTGTTTTCATTTATTTGTCTAAGATAATATAAATTTGATTGATAGCTTTCTATAACAGCAGGTATATAAGTTTTCTTACATTCTACAAATTATTCAGAGGTGAGATCATCTAGACAAAAAATATCAAATAGTGATATTTGATTTTGATAGGAATGAAGATAGTTACAAAAATTTACAATATGTTTTGCATTCTTATAGCTACATATTAGAATTGGGACACCTAGGTGAAAACACACCTGTCTGGAATGGAAATGTTTGAAAAGTACATGAATTTTTTTAGTGAAAATGATTGAGGTGAACTGTTCATATGTTTATATGACATGATTTAAAGTATGTGGAGAAACTAAAAGTATTTGCATTATCCTAAGAAAATATAATTAGAATTTCGAATAATTTTGGAAAATATGTATGTGAGGAAGGGCTTATTTGACGGATGGCATTCTCCTTTGACTCCTTAAACAACCTTCAAAATCGGCTGGTGAAATGATCTCAAACCGAAATTGGAATTCGCGGTTGATATTAGCACCAATTGCACAATGGGGCGCTTGATCGACCTAAAGTGACGTCAGCACAGGGCACAGGCCTTATTGTATCGGTGGTAAAGTTGCTAATGATATGCGGTTGTCATGTTCCTTCATGATCATGATACGCCACTGGATAGCGTTTTCATCGAGTGTTCGTCGATCGAATCTCAAAAAACAAACGATAGGTAGATCGAATCGAAACTGGAGCGAAATGATAATGTGACGAAAGGTCGTTTAATAAAACATGTCGAAGTCGTAGTGCCTGCTGGTTTGATTCTCGTTTCCACATAGAGAAACGAAACATGTGAAATAGATGAGATGAATCAGTTAGTGCTGCATTGCAGGAAATGGAAATAGGAGCAAATGAATGATTCATGTTGTAGCGTTGTAGCTCTAGTAACGGAGAAGGAAAAATGGAAAAGAGGAGGGTTAAAATCTACAAACATTTATATGATGAACAAACACAAATATGCTGTTACCAACAATATGTGCGGAAATACATCATAACTGGGTATAATGAGTGAATATGTGAAATGAGTGAATTGAATTCATTTGAAATGTAGGTATACATTTCGGCGTCAATTAGTGAAATCCGTCATTCCCTGAAATGCCTAGTCATTTCACGTATTGTCGGCAAACAGCGTAACAACGTAACTTCCATTTTCAGCCGTTACTCTGTTGCTGAGGTTGAGGAAGGAAAATATCCTTTCTGCATATGCATACGAAGAGAGACTGTTTTTCCGCCTAAATGAACCGTCTTCCTAGAAAGTATATTTTTCAGAAAATTACTTGAGAGAACAGAAGAGACTACTGCTTCTACCTAAGCTTACTCGGCCCATCTTGAAACTATTAGGCAAACGGTGTAAGAAATTTAGAGTTACGCTGTTTGCCGGCAATAGGTGAAATGACTAGGCATTCCAGAGAATGACGGATTTCACTGTTTGACGCCGACATACATAATATTCAATCAGTATAGTACTTGATGCTTGATGATGTACATGGGCTTACGGATTCAACTGGTCAGTACTGTCAGAAGTTCCACTGACTGTACTGAAAATCTGCATTACGAAATATAAAATAAAAATACAGTGCTGTAATCATATATACGTATTAATAATCAATACGGATAATCTCTATCTGTTTCCATAGCGAAACATGAAGCCGATTTTTGAAGACAAATGACTATCCATAAGGAAAAGTTTTGAAACGATCAGACACATACTGCTTTGATTGAAAGGCTAGTAAACGTCATTGTCCACCGAAACGCATGTCTTTGATGACTACACTATAATAGCGCATGGCGCATGCGTATCATGCCACCAAATCCTTATGGATATTCATTTGTTTCACATTTTTGGCTTCATCCTGGCACCCGTTATGATCCGTATTGTTTATTAATATGTATATGGCTGTAATTCGGATCACGTTTTCATCAGTAATCAGCAGCAGTTGATCACATGGTGATATTTGTTAGTTGTCAGGTTGTCTCTTCGGTAGTGTTTCTTGAATTTTTTTTGACTTCGGAATGAAAAATCAGCAGATTCAGTACTGTCAGTTGAATTCGGAATATAGCCCCAGTAGGCATAATATGCTTCAGTTACCAGAGTAATACCATACTCCAGTTACCATGCTTACCTTGTTTACTCACAATGTTTGAATCAGCAGTAGTCTAGGTGGTGACGTCAGGTGCTATTCACGTTAAATTTCTAGCCGTTTATCGTGGCAATATTGATGATTTCAGGACCTTGAAATCGACTGAAATAATCTAAAAAATATTGAATTGAAAAGTAGTTGAGTGATGATTTTATTCGAAAAAAAAAATGATCCACTTTTTTTATGATCTGGTTCCCACGAAAAGGGATATCATGTAATTTTCAGAGAACATCGTGAGAACCAGAAAAAATAAGGTAGGAATTAGTGTTCTCCTTGAATTTCTGGAGGTTATATCCCTCGGGGAACACCTCCCTTGGCAATGTGTTCCAGAGCCTCGCTGTTCGTTGGATGAACGAGTCTTCAGAAAGAGATGTTATGCAGGTCTCCAAAGTGACCACGGTGGGGTGCGAGGCCTCAACTCGACAGGTTAATATTGCGGGGAGCTCCAAGGGAGGAACAATTGTTGATATTTCAGGAGAGCAACGTCCTTGAAAATATCTATAAAATAGAGCCAGATCGCCAACTTTTCTGCGGTGTTTCAGAGAAGTGAGTGAGTTTGTGAGCGAGGCATCACCCACGAGACGAATTGCCCTTTTTTGGACAGAATCCAACAGTTTCAGGGTATGTTTGGGTGCTGCACTCCGAATATGGGAAGATTATTCCAGGAGAGGTCGGATCTGTGCCTTATAGATCATAAACAGCTGACTGGAAGTGAAATAGCTCCTGGCCCGAAACAGAAAACCAAGTTTTTGGGATGCACTTTGTAGCAATTGATCTCACGTGAAAGGTTATTGCTGATAGTAATGCCAAGCATCGAAATGGATGTCTTCGAAGGTATGGTTACTCCAGACAAGCTTATGTTGGGCACAGTGAGATAGGCTTGTCTAGTGGAAAGGCATGCTTGTGATTTGTTCGCATTGAAGTCTACCAAGTTATTGGATCCCCATTTGAAAATTGTTGCCAACATTTCTTCCTCGTTCGTTTCTGATTTGCCTGGCTGGTATTGGAGGCCTGGAAGGGAAGGCGGCATGGAGAGTACTATCATCCGAGAAGCTGTGTACTGGACATGAAGTTGCTTCCAACAAATCGTTGATATGGAGTAGAAATAGTGTTGGTGCTAGAATTGATCTTTGCGTAACATCAGCATTTATGATATTAGTCAGACTTCGTCGACCACTACATGAAGAGACCTGTTTGAGAGAAAACTAGCTAACAGAGAACATAGCTGGGGAGGCGAACCATAACCGTGGTGCCAGATTCGATCAAAGGCATTTGATATCAAGTGCCACGGCTAAGGTTTCACCATATTTTGCAATAGATTGCTGCCATATATGTGAGACGTAAGCGAGCAGGTCACCAGTTGATCTCTGATGCCGGATGCCATATTGCATATCGTTGAAAATACCTGAATGTTCCAGGTATTTCATGCCTATTTATAAAAAAATAATGTGACGCTTTGAGCGGAAAATGAAAAACGAGAAGAAACCTTCCTGCGGTCAATTAGGTGGGCGAAGATCGAAGATCTCGCAGCCCAAAGATGTTCGTATGCCCGCTGAGAATCGGCAGGTGGCAATCCAATGCATTATATCTAGTACTCTTCGCTCTCTAACTCCGTCATTAACTCAAAATTGGCGTGGACGGGAAAAATACTGCCCGGGAAGCGATCACCGACATATAGACTAATCTAGATCGCCAATTTTATAAGTAAAAAGGTGAGCCACTCAGTAGATCGAGCTGGTGAATCTGATTCATGCGCATTTAGCATCTGTCATGTTACAATCTTGAATCCGATGAACACAGGCGGCGAAGGAAAAAGTTGGGAGGGGTCTACTATGGAATATTGATGAACCATACATAAAGTAGTGAGAAACGAATGAAATATTCCATATTCAGGTCTCATAGCTTCTAAATACTCAGATTTGGGAACTTTATTATTGAAGCTTCACAAAGCTGTCTGGCATAAAATGATCTGAAAATAATTATCCTTCCTGGGTGGCTAAGGTTTAGAAAGGGTTCCTTTTGAATCCGTGCTACTTGCGTACGTCCGGCTTGCGTACAAGGGGCGTAACTGTCCAAGATGCGTACAACAAGAGATCGGTTAAAATCGTTTATTTTTTCAAGGGAGCGCTGTTGCCAAACTCAAAATTTAAATAACAAGTACTGTTGGTAAATTTAATACTTTTCATATAAAATATTGATAATAAAATTATAGTATGAACAATAATATATATATGTGTATATTTTACCTAACACTGGTAGGTGGTAGAAAATAAGCTGGTGTTTATAAAAGCTTTCTTACCAAAATAGCGTCCACTGTCGTCAAAATATGTTTAAATAAGATTAAGAAAATATTAGAGTGCCTTCTTTAGTTATTTTAATCACTTTAGATTTTTCTGAAATTACACTAACAACAATTTAATGATTATCTCCTTCGACTGTTGTGACATTACATTATGGTTAAATTATTTTGCTATGTGGTATTAAAGGCTTTATTTCTTTATCCCGATGGAATCAGGATTAAAAAACCCAAGATTTAAAACCATATGTTTAAGATGTACTTTTCCCACCTTCATAGAAAATTAAAAATCCCTTCTGCATATAAAAGGAAGCTATCTCAAAAAAAAATTTAGTACCAGTTAAGTTTTCTGAAACTGCACTTCGCAAAAATGGAATCGCTGCAAATTACGAATACGACGAAGGGTAAACCTTCGGCAATTTTCAAAGGATTTCAGTATAGAAAGCATAGAGTGAACAAGGATGAAGTCGTTAGTTGGCTGTGCGTGAAACAAAAATCCGAAAGATGCAATGGAAATTTGAAAACCAAGAACGGGGTAGTTTTGTCTACAACTGACCATTGCTGCAAAACAAATCCAGTGGACCTCGAGGTGAAATTGAAGATAAATAACGCCAAGAAAAGAGCCAGAGAAAGTGAAGAACCAATATCGAAAATCTACAAGGAAGAAGTCGAACCACTTTTAAGCCAAGGATTGGATTTTGTTGTCAAAGTTCCAGTGTTTTCATCGGTGAAGTCGTCACTATACAGCGCAAGATATAAGGAACAGGGAAAATCTTCAGAACCAGAAACAGCAGCAGAAATTCAGTTACCGGAAGATATTTTCACCATTCCAAACGGAACTTTTCTATTGGCGGATGATGGGGCCGAAGAGAGGATGATAGTTTTATCCACTACTTTTGGGAGACAGCTGCTGTCATCAAAACGAAGTTTTTTTATGGATGGCACATTCAAATCCTGCAGCAGGCAGTTCAATCAACTGTACACTGTGCACGCAGATATAGGGAGTACCTTAGAAGAAACGAATATTCTCCCAGTAAACACGCCAGCTAGTTTGCTGCCAGTCCTAAGCCTGGATTAAGTGTGAAGGGAAGACATTTCACAGATATACATACATAGTATGTATTAAAGTTTATACTATAATTTTATTATCAATATTTTATATGAAAAGTATTAAATTTACCAACAGCACTTGATATTAAAATTTTGAGTTTGGCAACAGCGCTCCCTTGAAAAAATAAACGATTTTAACCGATCTCTTGTTGTACGCATCTTGGACAGTTACGCCCCTTGTACGCAAGCCGGACGTACGCAAGTAGGAAGACACCTTCCTTTTAGTCTCAAACCATTAATTTATCTTATTATTAGGAATTCCATAATCATTATTGAATGGGTAAACTTTTAATCCAAAATCGTCTAAAATAAATGAGCAGGTATGGCACCTCAAGCCTGATCTCAAATTCTTCACAGCTGAATACAAAACATGCATGATTCCATTTGATTTAAATAATTGCTCAACAGATTAAAATATCACCGATGAAAAGAAATCTCTTCAGTATTATTAATCGTGGAATTCTTACACCAAAGAACAAACTACTACATATTTCCTGGGATTTGCGAAAATCCGAGAAAATTAATAACACCACTCAATTTTGATATTATTTTTCTCAAGCCGACCCCTGATGGCATGAACAAAATACTTGTAAGCCAACGCCATCCACCTTGCCGCCACCTAAGAACAAAATGGATGCTAGGTTGATTTCGATACCACGTCAAAGTCATGAACGACAGCTTGGGGGGGTTCCTTCGTATTTAATGCAACTGACCCTTGATTTTCGGGTTGCTGGGATTTGACTACTAGCACTTAAAGATGGCAAACTATCGATGGTACTATCGATAGTATAGATAGTTTTCAAAAAACTATCGATAGTGGAGCAATGGACCAATGTACTTGAAAAATCCTGGTTATGGCCGTTATGGGTCTCTGTATTGAAAAAGAAGATTCAATGAATTGCTATATAAAAAAAGATTCTCAGTGATAACGTAACAAGAGACAAGGCGACGCAATTATTGTCAATGTCAATGTTATCAAATTTCTTCATCTCTGCACTCTGAGCTGCACCTGAACCTTGATGTTGATGTCTGCGCCTTAAATTTAATCACTTTCAACCAAATCAGGAATAAAGTAAGTATTTTTTTTTCTAACTTTTTTAGGTCGAGTCGTCTGTCTGCTGTCACCTTCAATTCCCTTGTCACTTGTCAGTTGTCAATGTCCTTGGACTCCTTGGTTGGCAGGGGTGTTAAATAATCCATCTCCACAAGCCAATTTCTGTGGTCAATTCAGTGAAATTATATGTTCTACGTCGAATGTCACAATTTTCGGATTGGATCGATAGTTATCGATAGTATCAATCAATCAATCAAATCAATCAATCAATCAAAAGTGTACTTTATTGTAATAAAATTTGTGTAATGTATAATAACAAACATGGTATAGATCAAAAATAAAATGAAAAATGAAACAGAATATCAGAATTTCAGCATATTTTTGATGATCAATATTTTATCATCAACACCAAAGAACTAAAGTACTACCGATAAAATCAGTTCAAGAAATGTAATCAGTTAAAAATTGAACTATCGAAACTATCGATAGTCAATACAATCGATAGTTTGCCACCTCTACTAGCAGTCTGTGGAAGCGATCGACACGAGGTTGCCGGAAAATATCGCGGTTTTTCGACCATCAATCAAGTTGGCCAGATACAGTGGCGGGTCGCACGGAATTTTTTTTTATCAAGCATAGAGATCAGTAGGTTGTCGTGCATGGAAGGCAGGAACTAGAAGGATTCATTTTGGTTATCTACACCGCGGAAAAGACATCACATTCTATAAGGACATCCGTGGAACCGCTGCCAAATCGATGATTCAAGTGGATTTTTCGGATAAAACAACTTATTCATTTCGTCGAAAATAGCTAATAGCTTACTGTATATAATCAAGGCTAATAGCTAATAACAACATAAGTACTCAATTGTCAGTTGAAGTATTGGAAAATAACCCGTTTAAGGCGTTACTACAAGACGTATATTCATGTTACAACTGTAAAACTCGTGCGAATTAGTTTATTACTAAAATTTTACTCCTGGCTCTTGATCTACTAAATGGGGAGGAAATGAGATTATAAACAGAATTCAAACTCGAATACATACAGGGTGATACAAAATTCGTTGTGAATGTTTTGAGGGCGTATTGTTGGGATCAAAATAGGTAAGACTTTTTCTTTATACCTATAAACATCTGATCACCTGATACAAGCTACAGCAAGTGTGAGTTAGGTAAAAGGAAAAGATCATCTGAAATTGTGATCATAACAACAAATCAAATCGTCTGAAAATTGGCATGCCCCTGTTTTTTTTTATGCACTCTTCTTATTTTTTGCTTCGTAAATTATCCCCTTTAAGCTATGTTTTGAGGTGGTGAAACGAAAACGTTGCACAAATAACAACTCTGTCTGAGATATATCTGAAGAACCTGAAATCAACATATTACAATATAATCAAGTAACCTACTCTCTTCAGAAACGAATTAAGGCACAAGCTTATTGTGAGTACCTAGGCTGTAATACAGTATTTTGATATCATAGAACGAAGTTTCACAGTATATATGTAAACGTCAAGTTTTGAATAGTAGCATTGCAGATAGTAGAGAAGTATCGATAATTGAGCACAGTATATTGAAAACTAATTGAAATCTCATGAATGGTTACCGATATTGTATACTAAAATGTGTGTTTCCAAACTTTTGATTGGTTTGATCAACCTTTGCCTAACTGTTATAACGATTTATTGATTCATTGTTCTATTGTTTCAGCGGGGGCAGATTCACGAGCACAGGTGAAAGAATCCGGCTGCCCGATGACGTCACAATGGGCTACATCATCGGTGAGTTGAGTCTCTAAATTGAGGAAACGTCAATTGGATTAAGCGATTTAAGCGCCTCAATTACCGCAAATTAGAGCTGAACATGCGACGACATACATGCCGTCTCAGGGCCGATCCCAGAAATATCACTGCCCACTTGCAGTCGCCCACTTAGGCTCCCAATCGTACATACGCAACTGATAAAATGTAACAACAGTGTTTTGCGATCAATAATTAACATTCTCTTGTCTCTTTTGGATTTCGTTTTCCGAAGTTTTTTGAAAAGTTTTGTAAAACATGCCTCATCACGATGAAGAACAGTACATCATTATACATCAAGGGACAGAAATGCAAGATTTTTCCCAAGATGCGATTTGCAGCTCGAGGGCGAAGCTTTGAAAATGGTTAACGGTTATTGAACAAGAAATCGGGGGAAACCCCAAGAAACTATTTATACTGCTTCTGCAGTGATTCTTAACTTGCTACCAGTGAGATCTAGAAATCTGTATGATGCAGCTTATACTCGCTTCAGAGAAGGGTGTTCCGAAAAGAAAGCGCAGAGGTATGCGGAAAATGTAAAGTTGGTATAAACTCCCTAGGGAGAAAATATGTCACATTATCTCCCTAGGGAATAATACGAGACTTCTGCCCCTCTTTTGTTGCCAAAGAAACTAACTTCTATTCCCGCCGGCGTAAAGAGGCATTTTTTCCAATCAATCATTGGTCATAGTCCGACTTCAGGAGATCAAGAAAGAATGATTCTACAAAAAAATCAACGAAATACGTCGGTTTTTGTTTGGAGGTGGGCGCCGTTAGATGCAAAGAAGATGATACATGCTTCCACCCAGTACTCTCCAGAGCAACTCCTCCTATAATTTGAATAGGGAATAAGAATAAAAGTTATTTCAATTCTGGCATGCTAGCAGCGCAATTTTTTTTTAATTACACCAAGCCGTTTCTCGAGATACGTGAGTTCAAATGGTATGTCTTTCAATCATTGTTAGTGAATGGATATCCGGGATGTATTAATAAAATAGGTACTCACAACAAATGTTCAAAACGACCTTCAGTCACCCCCAAACAATGGTAAAATCTATTTGCAAATTCCTCTTACACATTTGAAGATGTTTCACCTAATATTTCCTGGCATTAAATCCTTAGTCTTCTTTTCAAATCGTTCAGCTCAGTAGTTTCCGTTTTATAAATAACAGATTTAAAATGATTCAAAAGTGAAAAGTCACTTGGTGCCAAGCCCGACGAGCATACTGGCGTTTGGCCCTCTACGACCTATCCATTAGTTTGGGAAATGTTGGGATAGCTATTCCTTCACAGACCTTGATGATGATGTGAGAGCAAAAAATTTATTGACAGATAATATGTATTTTCAACAAGATAATATATTGCTCCACCTCATTCCGTATTACAGGTGAGGGAATGACTACTCCAAAATTTCCCGAACAAAATATGAAGAGGTTGCCAATTAATAGGCCAGCACGCTTACCGGCACCCAATACTTTTTTGTTTGGGGTCTTTGATATCCGTTATTTATGAAACGGAATCTCCCTCTGGTCCGTACGATTTGGAAAGAAGAACAAGTATTGAAAGCCAGACCATATTAAGAGAATATTTTCAAAAGTGCAAAAAGAATTTGTGAAAAGACTTTACTTACTAAAAAGGTCAAGGTCATTTCCACACAATGTTCATCTTCCAACAACTACTTTCCTGACTAGCCGATTCGTCTGAACGAATACTGATACAAGAGTTGATGCAATGAAATTACGCCATTGAGGTAATCAGTTACGCCCAAATGGGAATCTCAGATTTAGAGAGTTTTTTGCCTTTCTACTCAGATGGCGTTACTCCCATGTTGTCTATGAAGGAAGTCTCAGAGGTGTTATGGTTGACTAGTTAACACCACTGACATAACTACTATCATATCCCAGCAACCCAAAAATATCGGGTAAATTGCTCGGCTGAGTGAAAATACTTCTGCTCAATGCGCAGGAACTCCCAAACTGTCGTTGACATGCGCATAATTCATCTCCAGTTCAATCAACGAACCATGAGCCATGAACAACATACTAAATATCCTGACCAGTAGGGGATCAGTCGGTAGAGGAGCATTTGAATGCCTTTTTTGAAGTTGTTCTCGAATAATTCGAGGAAGGCGACCTCTAGCGAAAAAATATAGCCATAGAAAATTGAGCAAAACAAAATTCCCTATGTAAAAAAATATCATTACATTATTCGTCTACAATGTGTTGTCTCATATCATGAAAATGATGGCAGTAATATTGAGTTGTTCACCTGAAGAGGTTATCTATGTAATAAGTGATTGTCAGTTATCAATAATATTATTATAAATATATACAAACTATTCGGTAATTGAAGATTTAATTGTATAATGAATAGAAAATTTTTTATATTGTTGAACTTTGTATACCTATATTTTTTCGAATTATTTGGAACAACTTGAAAAAACATGACATTGAAACACTCCCCTACTATGTTGTTAATGGCACTTCTCCCAACCACTCTACAGAAATTTGCGACTACACGGTTTCGGTCTTCTATTTTGAGTGGCATATAGCTTTTGTTTGATGACATCAGCGCTCTAGATAGTGGTATATATGTCAGTAGTCAACACCGCTTAGATCGGTCCTGCGTTCAAACCCAGCGCTTATGATGTAACAATGGAACATCGCCCACTTTTATTGTACATGTACAATTATCTTCTGTTTCAGAACACCTACTCAAACAGCCTTTGACTGTTGTCGACCAGTTTCACTCTCATCTGGAGCCTATGAAATTCATCAGGAGGGATATGATCGAAGATCAGGTAAAACTGTAGTTCAATAGTTTCATCCAAATTCATTACCTACGAATGAACGCGAAAAACGATGAACAGCATCTCAATTCTTACCTACCAATGTAGTATGCTTGTGAAAAAATGTCAATAATTCATTTTCCATTAGTAACACTTATGGTCAAAAGAAACGAAGCATATTCGAGTTTGAATTGAATATTTATTCATCGAACCCACGTACGGTAGTGCTTAATTTCCAGAAAATTAATAAAAAAATTAACAATGCATTTTTTCTACGCTTCGTGGTTGGATTATTTCAACTGTAAAACTGACACTCTTTGTAATTTTGCAACAATTTATCGATGTATAACCCGAATATTTTGAAGTACTTATTATACTTAGCACTTGAAATTTTATGTGTATTGCCATTGCCAGTAAGTGCAGCAAGGACAGAGAACAAATTTTCTTCGCTCAAAAAGCTCTAGATTAGCATTACTACACATTCATAGATACCTACAAATATCTCCAGACTCTGTGTTGAATAGGTTCGCTAGTCGATATCGAAGGCATCTTTACTCAATTATTTGTGCAGTTTTTTCAAAAAGTTATTGAATGTGAAAAAATATTGAATTTATTTTGCTCCACACCTCCACCCCCCCACACAGAAAAAATATATCTACGCTTTTGAAGATGATAAAGTTCGTGATATAATTTCTATCTCCTTTAGGTCTTGTAGATTTCGATCTCCGAACCTAAAACAGTAAATTGATAAAGTGTCTTCGATTTCAGATATCCTTCAGCTATGCCAAAACCAAAGACGAATGGAACGTTGTGAAAATAGAAGGATTCGAGGAATCCGAAGATCAGTACAGGTGAGTACAAGGGGCGATCACTGCGATCTATGTTGGAGTAGTCATGCAATCTGAAAAAATCATGCAAAGTTCCAGAGCAATCCGAGTGAATTCATATGACATTTATTCATATTGAAGACAGTTTTTACAGATGTTGAAGATAATTGCCAGCAAATAATATTTTCAATTTGTTTTAATGAAAGTTACCAAACTTTACATAATTTAATAATGTAGGTAGGTATAACTTCCCAAAGTATTATGATATTCATAAGTGACTCTTAGTTCCAGTATAGGTACACAAAGTACAACTACAAATGGGCATGTTTGTGATGGTTCCTTATGTAATACTACAGTTCTCTTGATTTCTGATATTTGATAAGGAACCATCGAAATAACTGAAACAATAATATACTGCCGTCCTGAGCACAACTCCCGTATCAACAAAAAAGCTAAAATGGAGTAAACGCATTAAACAGTGACATTTGATTGCTGTCGTTTACTTGAGTATCATTTTGGGTCGGATCAGTATTTTTGTATGTCAAGAACGTTCTGAAATCAATTAAACCGGATAACAATTCAAGAAATTATGTTTCTCAATATGAAAAAGCACATGCGATGTTTTTGCTGAGAAGAAATTGAAACCATGTTGCTAGGCGAAAACCACGTATCTGATGCACGCGCCACATATGCAGATGCGGTGTTCTCGTTTAGTACTGTGTAGATAAGTGGTTTTTGCTTATACAGGGTCTTTCACAGATGAAGGGAAATATGTCAATGGTACATATGGGTCACCAAGGTGGTTCTGAAAATACCATATTTGATAGGTCTTAGAGTCTTCATAACGGAGATACGGGGCGATTTATCGATTTCAAATAATTATTCATTCGTCTATAAGTATTGAACTACTCAGTATATTTTTCTAAAATTTGCTATGGAGCTTATACTTGGGACGTTGAATTCATTCACCTATCGGGCGAAGTGAAAGTCCAGGTTCGGCTTCAGGAAAAGTTTACATTTATTCGAAATATCAAAATAACACACTGCATGCAATAATTGACAGAGTTCATCGAAGAAATCGTGGAGAGGAGGAAAAACTGAACTGTATTTGATGCTTTTTGTTATCCCGCCACCTATTCTCATCGTAACAATCATAAACAGAAAGCTAAAAGTATGTCAATTTGAAGAGTATTAAAATTATGAAAACACTTTCAATTATTATTATTTGATACATTCTTGTTGAATGATTATTCGAAAGAACTTACTGAGTCTCACAGTCTTTATAACAGAGATACAGGGTGAATTTGACGGTTTCGAATAATTATTTACTCGTCCATAAGTATTAAACTACCCATCGCAGTAATATTTTCTCAAATTTGGTATTGAGCTTGCTTGGGACGATGGATTCATTGACCTATCAGGCAGAATGGAAATACAGGTTCAGCTTTAGGAAAAGTCTCATAGTCTTTATAACAGAGATACAGGGTGAATTATGGAATTAAAATTATTTGGTATTATTTCCATTCCGCCGATAGGTTAATGAATCCATCGTCCCAAGTAAGCTACATACCAAATTTGAGAAAATGTTACAGGGTAGTTTATACTTATGGACGATTGAATAATTATTCAAAACTGATAATTCACCCTGTATCTCAGTTATAAAGACTGTGAGACTTAGTCAGTTCTTTCGAGCGATTCTTTGACTTAAATATATCGAATAATCATATAATCGACACTGGTTTCATAATTTCAATACTCTTCAAATTGACTGAATACTTTTGACTTCCTCTTTATGACTAGTACGATAAGAATTGGTGGCGGGAAAACAGAAAGCATCAAACCCAATTCCGTTTTTCCTTCACAATTATTTTGATGTACTGTGTTGATTATTAAATACAGTGTGTTATTTTGATATTTCGAATAAATGTAAATTTTTCCTGAAGCAGAACCTGGATTTTCACTCCGCCCGATAGGTGGATGGATTTAACGTCCCAAGTATAAGCTCCTTACCAAATTTGAGAGAAATATACTGGGTAGGTCAATGCATATAGACTAATGAATATTTATTCGAAATCGATAAATCGCCCTGTATCTCCGTTATGAAGACTCTAAGACCTATCAAATATGGTATTTTCTGAACCATCTTGGTGACCCCTATCTACCATTGAAATATCTCCCCTTACCTGTGAAACACCCTGTATACAAGAGTGCCTTATTTGGCCAGATTCGGGGAATTGAAATGGCCAAAATTACTGATTTGCAAAATGAATACCGGGTTTTCGCTTAGTAAGGAACAAGTATTAGTTGCCAAGCAACCATTGCGCTAAGAATCTGAATTTCCGTGAATTTGTTGGTTACGGGAGTTTTCGAGGGAGTTTTGCTCAGGATGGCAGTATAAATGTACAGGAATCAACTAATGCTCAAAGTGGAATGAAATGTTAGATAAATACGAAGAGATCAAAGTCATTTGTGGAAATGACTTTGAGCTCTTTGTATTTATTGTACAGGAATGCCTATTACCAGTTAACTACACGCCGGGCGGCAAAGTTTATATCTACATACATAGTGGGGAAACAAATTCGTCTGCCATTCTTCTAACGAGAAGAGAAAATCCCAGAAACCTTACAGAAAAATGGATATTCCTCCTCCTCAATTCTCATACAATTCGGTCCATTTTTAAGAAGATTCACAAAAAAGCAAAATTCAATCGAATGAAGCGAATAAAAGTGTCATATATGCACGACAAAATATAATCTTGAAATGATTTCTTGTTTCGGAGCGAATTTGAAGTTTTAATTAAGTAAATATGTCTTACATGAACTCTGGATCTCATTCAATCAAGGACATCCATGAACTGTTTATGAAGAGATATTGAATTAGCTCAAACAATCATTTTGTTTGATTCAAAATAACACGATATTGATTAAATCAAATATTCAGTTGATTCAATGAAATATTTGATTGGTTCAAAGAAATATTTGGTTGATTCAATGAAATATTTGGTTAATTCAATGACATATTTTGTTTATTCAACGAAATATTCCGTTGATTCAAGAGAAACTGTAGTTCCATTCGACAAATTATTTTGTTGAACTAAATTCAGTATTAATTCAGGAATTTTCTGAAATTTCACATCAATATAGAAAAACTCAACTGGGAAACTAGTCGACTTCTAGCATAGATCTCCAGTCTTTATACTTATCTTCAGCCGAGTCTTCAGCTGATGCAAAACTATTTCGGATTGTTAATCATCCTAAGTTCGATTTACCCAGCTGAAATTTCAAACACGAAGGATCAGGCTTCACGTATATAATGAATTCGAGGCAGGCATAGACGAGGCGAAATGATCGGCATCTAGAGGCGAAAATTCAACTTGATGTAGCATGAACAAAATATTCCATTGATATTACATATTTCGTTGCTCTATTCAAGCAAATGATCCGTTCGAAACGAGTTTATTGCTACATCGGAATAAGAAAACTTGAATGTTAATTCAATAGTATATTGTGCAACAAGTGGAAAAAGTGCTTTTCCTCACATGTTGCACACTATACTTTTTCTACAACTGCACCTATTCAAAGAATCAGAGTAATGTAACTTATTGGTATTCATTTTATGATGTGGCACTATGCCACACTGAATATTGTGACCAAAGAGTAGACGCCTCTACTGGTTCCTCAAAGTATTTAAAAAAAGTACACTCTCCGAAAGAGAATTCATTTCTGCATTTTTTTAGATTCCATAAATTTTTCGTATCAATATGCCAATTCATACTTTTTTCTTGAAATTTCCGGAAACAAATCCAATTTTCGCAGCTTTTTCCATTATCTCGGTCTCTGGCGGTGTATTTATCAAAATCGTCACATCTCGATGTATACATCATATCATTTATTATATATATATATTAAAAACTTCTTCTGACATCAGTTGTGACAACTATTCAAAGCTGAACAGCAGCCAATTAAGTTTTGGTCGATTTTTGTTGATTCTCCATGGAAATCTATGAGGTGTTGGCAAAGTGCCGTGAGAAAAAATATTTCTCACAGTATGAGCAATACATGGTTTTGAAACTAAGTAAGCTGTGAGAAATGCACTACTTCTCATAGCAGTAGTAGAAAAAGATATATTCTCATCAAAATGATCATTATTTGATCAAATCAACAAACTGTTTATAGTTGAATCAACATCTACATCGTTTTGGATCGACATTATTTGTTTTTGAGAAAACCATATATTTTGTTGATGGAATTGATATTATACTATTGATTCAATGGGCTTATATCACAAAAATAAAATTTATAATTCGATAGAACTCACCCAAACTAGCTAACCACCGCAAACCGTTTATTGCTGTGAGCTCCCTACGTTTTATAAAAAATTATTGAAATCCCCGATTTTTCGGACCTCTGAAAACGAGGTGATGATGTGACGTCACAACAGGGTTGTGACCTCGGTTGCGACTATTCCAGGCAGAGATGAATGATACATGATTTCTGACAGAGTGAATTAGCGCGAGATCACAGTTGAAAGAATTAATATATCAATTGCCTCAGTCTCCGTCGGGTGTTTTCTTTTAACTATGGCGAGATGAGGTTCCTACGTCAAAGGGGGTCCGTTTTCAGAAGGTTATACTATTATTTATGTCCAAAAATAAAACATTCTAGTTAATTTTTCGATCGAATTTTCTCGTCAATCATTATTTATGTATAAAATGATCATTATAAACATGGTTTGAGTTAAAAGTTCTACTAAGGTGTACACGCCCATTAGACTTCATTCGTGATTTGACCAAGCTGCTTCCATAAAATAATCATGTATCTGGTTGATTCAACAAAAATAATTCAAACATAAATAATTTGTTGATGCAACAAAACTTTTTATTTTCGTGTTTGATCTTACAAATATGAACACATTTCGGGTGTTATAGAAGGTGATTCATGAGAAGACTAACACTGCCAAATGGTAAATAGGGGAATCAAGACGAGTTGATATATACGTATGTCCAAATTCGATCCTCACCATTG